AGACAATCGTTTCACATAACGAGCTCAGTGCCGGAACGAATTAAATTCGTCAACCGATGCTCCACTCTACGTCAACGGAGCAATGATGAGCCCCCATAAATGACTAGACTCTTTAAAGATTTTATAAATCAGAAGATATAATTTTAACGATTCTGAAACCTATAATATTGAAATGAGTTGCATGTGGTCATTTGCAGACTTTTGCTTAAACAATTTTACATTCATATACATAAACCGCGCTAGACAATTTCTGTCGATGTACTTGCTATTAGCGCACTCGTATCAAAGTTTCGTGCCAGATTTGATGGTGAGGTTTTGGTGTTCCTTCCAGTTTGGGACAGAGGGGAGTTTAGGGAAGTAATTGGAAATAGGTACACCCTACTACCGGTGGTCTTGCTCTAAATTCTAGGGACGTACAGCAGATTCCCTAACTCTGGAATGTCAACCGAAATTCTGAAATATACTTTCGATTTAAACAACTTTCGAAAGTAGGGTCGTAATGGTACTTATTATGCTACCTAATCTCAGGATATTTCAGTCACGACAGGATGCCGGTTTTCGAAAAATCTTCTTTCTGACCAACTGAAAGAGGTATGCTCTGCGAAACCTGGCTGCCTAAGTAATTATAAACTTCTTTTAAACTTAAAGATATCCTTTCTTCAAGTATAAATGCGAAGAAGACGTAAGTTGCTACAAAATGAGTAAGGAAGAAGGTTTTGCGTCTGTTTTCGGTAAAGTATATGTGAATTTGGAAGAGTAGTTGGGAGCATACACAGGCTTTCGATAAATTCTCATCGGACCACTATATTTATATGGGAACGGGGTACAAATTGAACAATGCGGTCAACAATGCCCCTCTTTTCATACAGGTGGATCGTAGGAATAGGAGGGTGGGGAGTACTAAGCGACGTCTGGTTAAGCGGAAATGAGGTTTTGTTAGAACCATTTCATGGGAGGAAAGACGCGGGAGAATACATACAGTCAAGCGACAGTTGGCCATGCCAGTTGCGGAGCTTGCAGGTTCTTTTGTACATACAAGACCGATTTCGCCAACCTGCTAGCGGTCGTTTCTGTTGCTGCTAGGAGGCACTGTCAAAAAGACCTGCAGGAGAGTTTGGTGGGACCCTATAAATCACCCTGAAGGCTTCCTTGCGATCCAAACGATGCTCAGAATCAACAACTTGCGTGAGAGTATCGCTGTTTGTACCCCGGACTCCACATTTCCTCAGTCATGCCCTA